TTGTCTAAATATATCCCATTACATTTATAATCTAATCTTCAAATCCCCATGTAAGCTTCACAATCTTGTTGCTATTTCTGATGTCGTACAAGGAATTTGGGGGCAAAGTAGATGTATGATACTACTAGAGTTGTATGTTTAAATATGGATCTGGTACAGTACAGTCAGGTAGAAAGAACATAGACATTTTAGTGGAAAAAGTATTTGAGAGAAAAGCACATGAAGGAAGGTAAACTATGGCAGGAATTACTTCATCCTTTCATATATCCCTTTTTTGCTATTTACATGGAGCTCCACTCCAGCTCAGGTCTATAGATATGATTTGGAATCCTACAAAATAAAACTTAGGGGGGAAAAGCCCTGCATGTACTAATAATTTGCATTTAGACTTTGTGCACCAATCTGACCTGCTGATGTGTCCCTAATCTCCTTCAAGATTGATTGAATTCATATCCAGATTCATATTTAAGGTGGCATGATGAAAAGAGCTTCTGATTGTCCCAACCTTAGCTTTTTTACATAACAAAGGAGCAGCTCCTCCACCAGAATCAGGCCTGCCAGGGAATACAGTGGTTGCTTTAGGTGGCAGAATTTAAGAGACCAGAAGATTCAAGAGCCAGCCTAGAGATGTGCCTTTGGAACATATCCACCCTATAAACCAAAAAGCAATTTGAAATAGAATTAGGTTGATAGTATTCCTCCAAGGAAGCCAAGGGAAGACTTAAGTACATTTCTATTATATACTATGTATTGAGAGCTAGTTCGGTATAGTGGTGAAGGCGCTGGCCTGGAAACCAGGAGACAGTGAGTTCTAGTCCCACCTTAGGCAGGAAGCTGGCTGGGTGAATTTCAACCAGTCCCTCTCTCTCAGCCCAATCCACCTCACAGGGTGGTTGTTGTGGAGAAAAAAGGAGGCAGGAGAACTAGATATGTTCGCTGCCTTTATATAATAATAATACCAATGACAGAGGTTGCTGTAATTTTCTCCTCCTTGCAGCAAATTAAATCCATTTATTCTACTACATTATATCACTATGAATGTACATCAATATAGAAATTGGTAAGATTGATGCATAATAATTTTGGTTAGTTTTACATTCATTGTATCTTCAGAAAGTAGAAGGAAAGGGTGTTTTCTTTATGATTTGATTTTATTGATACCTTATTAATATATTGTTGTATCTTCATCCAGATACTTGATTGGGTCTATATTATATTTTGAAATCTATTCCACCTCTAGTTCACATCAGGTTACAACAAATGCAGTAAAATATTGGTACTAATAATAAGTAAGATCAAACTAATCAAGGAACTCCAGTTGAAGATCATGCTAACCCTGGTTGCTCTTTCAGACAAAGCTCAATGAAGATTTCATTGTGTCAGCATCAGGTGAAGGAAAAGCAACTATGACCATTTTGACATTTTATAATTCACAATCACGGGAGGATGAAAACATTTGCAAGAAATTCCTTCTTGATGTTTCTGTTGAAAATGTCCAATTGAGTAAGTTTGACTGATGGCCTTTGGCTTGCTAAAAATGGTAGATTCTAACAAAATGACTAGGTTTTATTTGTGGTTGGTAGGACTTGCTTTTTGGGGGGTTTTGTTATGGATAAATAACACTACGCTACACTACAGTTTTTATAGCTGGCCCAACTCATGACTATGGGCATGCAATATATCTGTGTTCTTCCCTGATGAACTACAGGCTAGAAGTTTTGTGGGTGGGGGGGAGTTAAAAATGTTTGATGCATTAGCAATTGTAAATGAAGTCTGATACACTGGATCCAGTTTAGAAATGAAAGGGGCAGGACCTCTTCATTTTGTAAAGAATTAACATATGATGATGCCAAGTAAATGAATCAGCTTTCCAAATCACATGCGAGTTCTGGAGTGAGTGAGTGAATTAATTCTAAATGCCATTGGTCACAGAGGCAAATCAGCACAGCTTAGTGGTCCATATGAGAATCTACTAAATTGGGTGGACATAGTATGTATCTGTGTTCAATACTCTGATGACTCGTGAAAACAACTCTGACCTGGGGGATCACAAGTTATTAGTTATTAACATAATCAATGCATTTTAAAAATAAATGTTAGTATTTCCCCCTTGTTTTAAAAATGTATTCCCTAAAGAGCACCGAGCAGGTCTTATTAAATGTAATATTAATCATCTCATTTAGCACTGGGTGTAGGATTTATGTTTTATAAACTGCAGGTACAGGCTCTTTGACCTGGGTGGGTCCCTTGTGCCTTTTTGTAGCATTGAAAAAAGACTCTCATTTAAGGTAATTGGAATTTTCTCCACATGGATATATTTGATCTGCAGGCCTGGTCCAGTTCAGGACTACACAGTGCGGGGAAAAGATTAAAGTTTTTCTGTTCACCGTGTCAGGATCCCAATGTGGAACAAGTCTCTACTAGCTATTGATAAAAAAAAAAAAAAAGTCTCTCACTTGATAGAAAATCGTATTATTAACTTCATATGTAGTTGAAGTCCAGTTCCTCCAGTCAGCAAAAATAATTCATTTCCTTTTGCCCTGAATAAGAGGATGTTGAGAACATTGAAGGATAAATTTTGATGTTGAACTATATAGTTTGGAGAGGAATTGTAGTTGTAGGCAACATTCATGTTACCTTCTTAGAACAAAAAATAAAAATAAAAAATAAATTAGGGGCAAAGGAAGTCATCTGTCATTTTAGCTTGCTGTACTTATTTGCCTAAACTGAATGACAGATCACATTGAAGCCATGGTAGGGTGAGGGGTGCCAAAGAGAGAAATGTCTTCATGCCATTCTTAATTTTATAAACTCAAGAAAGACAGATTAACTCCAGAGATTTTCGGCTGTTCCTAATTAGTGTTGATGGGTTTGCAACAGGATCCAATTTTCTAGTGGTTTTATATCGGCACACCATACTGTACTGCAAGATGTAATACATGATATTGTTTATTACGTGTTTATCCCACTTTTTGTTTGCAGGGCTCAAATGTTTTTACTACCTACTGTGGTATTCTTGCAATACTTTAATATAATAGGTTAGGATAAACAATGGTACACACACACACATGCATGCACACACACAGACACAGACACACACTACAGCACATAGATGTAAAAAAAAAATTAAATTTGGTTCTTGCAAAATGATAGATGAGTAGCATTTTACACCCAGCTTGAAAGTTCCTAGCTCAATACACTTTAGAATCTATACAACCAGTTCTTCAATGATCGATATTGGGTCTGTATTTGGATGTATTATTCTTTGTTTAAACATTCCCTATTCACATGACTTCCTTCAAGAAGGAACCAATCAATTATAGAAATAGAGGGTAAAAGTGATTAGATTAATCCTTTTTTTCCAAGGAGACATGACAGCCAGTTGGGCAATCAAACTTTTTACCTTAAAAAAAAAAATCAAACAGCCAAGAATTTGTAAAGAGTCTGATTTCCCCCCTTTCATTTGCAATTTTTAGACTTAAACCAGGCAAAGGGAGCCAAGGGAGCAGTCAAGCTCAAAATCTGCACCAGGTGAGAATGTTGAATTTTGAAGATAACTTTGGATAGTAACTGGATATTCAGGGTAATAACTGGGAGAAGCAGTTGTGTTACTTTTCAAGAAAATAGTTTACATTTTTCTCAAGTTTACACTCTCTGTTTGCATACTGCCTCTGATCTGTTGTCCATGAAGCGTCCTAATTTGTAACATGTTGTTGTTGTAGGATGAAACAAAGAGTAGGATTTAAGTCACTATAGGTCCTATAGATTGATTAGGGATTTAGAAGTTGCAATATGCTACAGTGGAACGGCCAGTACATTGGTGGGGAACCTCCAGGGGATTCCAGGACTGTAGGCTAGACTCAGAATTTGAAAAAATATCCTAGGAAAAGGCAATGGCAAATCTCTTCCATGTTGACAGGAAAATTCCAGACATGTTCATGAATCCATCAGAATTTGAGCCTGACTCAAGAGAAATATGTAATATAGAGTAAGACTAATGATAGGTCTTCAGCTTGGTTTTTTGCCATTTGAAGAACAAAAACACATTTCATTTTACAGTATACCTTAATGCTTCTGTCTCAATTTTCACCCACTTTCATAAATCTTGTAAAAACTTCCATGAAAATTGTTATGGGAGTTAGGAGCAGATACATAGTGATGGCTCAGGTGCCAGCCTATAAACTTGGTCAATAGTTGGCTTTCTCCTCTTCAAGATGAATCATTTTGAAAAATGCAGAACTGCTCTTATAGCAAGGAACAAGAATCTGTTTCTGAACTAGGAAATCAATCTTTGGTTATTTTTCCTCTATTCTTGATTTTAGGTATCTTGGGGAAGTTGATGCTACCATGACAATAATTGATGTTTCTATGCTCACTGGTTTTGCCCCTGATACCGAAGACCTTAACAGGGTAGGCAAGCTTTACTTGGTGCTTGAAATGGCTGTTTCTATAGTTCGCTGAAGATACTGAATTAGAAAATGTATTATGGTTAACAGAAATCATTTGCCCATAGGATTAGAACTGCAGAGAGAATGACTGAATCTTCACTTAAATCAATAAGGTGCTGAATTTTATTTCAATGACACATAAAAGACATTATCTTTTAATAGAGTCAGAAAGGTGCACCTCTTATAATGAAGACTTGATTCTGCAAAACTTTGTCAATATAATCAAAGTTCTTTTAACTTCCTTGAACATTTCTCAGATGCTGACTATAAACAGAGATTTCCATATTGACCCAGAATTTGACTGTGGGAAAAATTTGACTTGTACAAGGATGTGTGGAATTTCTTTAACAAATTAATAATATTAAAACTTTCTAGTTGGCTCAAAGCCTCTGAGTTGTGGATTCTGGGAACCTTGAAAATAGTTTCTGATTTTGCTATAGATTGTAACACAGGGACAGTTCAAATTGCTTCAGTCATCTGCAGTTCCATGTATTTGAATCATCTGCAATCCTGATGTAAATGTCATCTTTTCTTTTTTCATTGTTTAGCTTTCTAATGGAGTCGACAGGTACATCTCCAGGTTTGAAGTTGACAATATTATGGCTGAGAGAGGGAATGTTGTTATTTACCTAGACAAGGTAAACACTTATAGAATTAATTCCTTTGTGTAGTGGCATGGTTGGAAATGACCATCACTAGGCAAACATTGGTGTGTGTTATAATGAAAAAGATAGGATGTATATTCAGCAAAATAAATCCACATAATTCATCGTTAACTGCAACAGATCATATATAAATTAAGAAAGAGATATAATAATCTCTTGCAATATGGGATACATTATATTTAAAGGCTTTATCTACATTATATTTAAAGAAAGGCTGTCCTCCATAATTGCACTGAAGTGCTAGCCACCAGCCCTTGAGCCAGTAAAAAGTATGCTGGCCTAAATTGTGCTACCAATCCATATTCTGCCACAATAATGAGGATGGTGAACAGTGCTGTCCTTGGTAGATTGGTAGAGTCCTTCAGCTTTGTTTTCCCTTCCACCAAGTGTCATCTGCCATTGGGAAAACAACCTCAGTCACTCCCCCTAACATGGGTCAGTGTGGGGAAGGTTTAAATGGATGCCTGGAACAGCATATTTAGCTACCTGTCAATCCATCTTGAAATCCCAAGCCTGCCCTGATATGTATCTATTCAGCTCTTTCTGAACACAGCTCTAGCACTTTTCCGAAAGAGATAAACATGGTTTACAAATAGCCTAGCTCACAGGTTAAAGACATGGAGCGGGGTGTAGGTTGAAATAGGAAGGAGTAATTGATAATGAGAGAGCTGCATCCCTGACTATTGCTGCCAGGGAATGATGGTGCCCAAGTAATGAGAGTATCCAAGCAAATGTCCAAGGGAATCTAGTTCTGACCTTGAGGCCTGCAGTACCTGAAGTAACCAGGGAGAACATGCATGTTAGAATGGACTATCAGAGTTGTGGAATTACTATTGGCCTGTATGTAATTATAGCAGTTATCCCAATAAAAACATTTTGCATTGAGAGTCAGACATTCTGGGCCTTTCCCCACTTGCATTTAACCCCAGTACGAGCCCACCTTGGAAAATACTTATTTTCTGCTATCCCTCCATATTGTTGCCTGCACCTTGTTCACAGTCTCTGATTAAGACAGGCTGAAGGGATCTACTTGAACCCATGCTGAAACAGTATTTTTCCCTTTATGCAATCATTGCCCAAGAGAATCTTCAAGGCATGTGAAATTGGTTAGCCTTGATCACCCCATTGCCTTGGAGGGAAGTCCAGTGACTGTACAGACTTAATAAAGAGGCAATAGGGGCAGGACGGAGATTGGCAATGGGCTTAGCCAATTTCATGCCAGTATAGTTTTCTGGCTGACTCAAGGCTGGGAAGACAGCCCTGTAACTGGGCAGTGGGGAAAGATTCTAGGCTGCCTAATGCTCTTTTGGTAGTGAAAAAAGCCTGAAAAGAAGATATGACAGAGTAATATGTAGTACTGTAACTGCTGACCAGTATTTTCTGATACACCCTTTCAACCTGCTGCTCCTCTCCATACGTGTACTTTTTCCATTGCATAACCCTGAATTCTGGGAATCTTAGACAGCCTTGCAGAGCTTATTCCTTGAATAACTGTATCAAACCTGAGCACCCAACTTGGAATAACCAATTTCCTTGAGGATATACTGATGGAGTTTATTTTAAAAAATCATTATTACCTCCATTGGAAAAGTGGCACTCACAAAATTATCTTCTCTCTCCATTTCAGGTCTCCCACTCTGAGGTTGAATGCCTACAATTTAAGCTTAACAAGTTTTTTGAAGTTGGTTTCATTCAGCCAGGATCAGTCAAGGTTTACAGTTACTACAATCTAGGTAATGGCAAAACAGCTTTTCCAAGGAACACAACATACTGAAAGTTGGCAAAATTAGGCAAAAAGCCGAACAACAATTGATACTTTATAAAGTTCATTTGACTTTCCAAAAGTCTTTTTATGTCCATTTTATAAATGCAGAATGAATCATTTGAGAATGTTGAAAGAAAGAAAGTCTTCTGGTCTGAGATTCCTTTGCTGTAACTACTGAAGGGCAGAGAACAAAACCAGTGACACAAGATCCTGTTGTCTGCTCTGGTGTTCAGTGGCAAAGTGTATGCCCATCTCAGAGAGAAAAAAATGGTACTGGAGATGTAGATGCTGAGGAAGAGGTTTGCCATTCCAATTGATATTTTGAAAGTTCATTACTATTTTACTTTCTGAATCCTTTGCATTTTCAGCACAGCTCTTTAATCATGAAATGTACAAAATCATGAAAATAGTGCTATTTTAGAGAAAACTATCTGCAAAAACTGTGTATAGTAGTCAAAATTGCAAAAAGGCATTTGTTTGGAGAAATGTGTCCCAAAATGCATACACATTTTACAAAATGTTAAAAGAATATAAAAGCCAGTTTGGTCTAGTGGTTAAGGGACCAGACTAGAAAGCAGGAGATGGTGAGTTCTAGTCCCGCTTTAGGCAGGAAAGCCAGCTGGGTGATTTTGGGCCAGTCTCTCTCTCTCAGCTCAATCCACCTCACAGGGCTGTTGTTGTAAGGAAAATAGGAGGAGGAAGGAGTATTAGGTATGTGCGCTGCCTTGAGTTATTTATATATATAAAAAATAAGAATGGCGGGATAAAAAAAAAATCTAAAAAATAACTGTTTAAAAAATCTCCAATCCAACTAATCAAACTTGACATATTTGCAAAATTGAAAAATGATGAGAAACCAAAATTTACAGTTCACCCATGCCTAGTTCTAATTCAGTTTTGTTGCAGCATGGAACAATGGATTGTGCTTTAATTTCAGGGAATAATGTTCCCACCCAAGACATTTTGCTGCTCAAAGCATTTGCACTGATTGAGTGTACGGATACAACCCTTGCAATGTCACAGGGTTAGGGCAGGCTAGCTAATTTGCCTGGAAGATCAATTTGTCCCCATTTTGATCTCAATGTGAGATTGTTGGCCTGTAGCCTCACTTAAGACAGTCCGCGCTTACCAACTGCCTCATGCAGCGACCATTCGAAGTTATGATGGTGCTAAAAGAAATAACTTTGCGACCAGTCCTCACATTTACAACTATCGCAGCATCCCTCAGTCATGTGATAGTCATTTGCATACCTCGCAATCAGCACGCATTTTCACTTCCAACAAGCAAAGTTAATACTGTACAGTATGGAAGGCAGAAGTGAAATTGTAAGTTGCAGTCATGTGATTTTTCACTTAGCAGCTGCATCACTTTGCTTAACAACCGAAGGGGAAGTAAGGTTGTAAGTCACGTGATTTTCCGCTTAGTGACCAAGTTGCCAGATCCAATTGTGACCGCCAAGTGAGGACTACCTGTAATGATTGGTATTGCTAATACCAGAACCAGGGTATTATATGTACTGTGGCACAAAAGCTCCCTAAATTGGGGCCTTTAATACTAGAAGGCATTGGTTTTATAACAGACTATAAGAATCATGAATAGTCCGTTTTATACTACCAAAAAAGTGGCATCTACAGAAGGCATCAAGGGTAGAATGACAAAAGTAAACATTGTGCTGTCGCACCACAACCTCCATCCCATTTATATGTTTTGTGGCATCACGTGCATGCCGAAGCTTGCAACACAATGCCTTTTTCATCTTTTTTGACAAAAGGAGCAGAATCCTGCAGACACCATGTTCCAACTTCCTAACTCCATTAGATATGAGATATCCTCTCTTACATTTCTTATTGTGTTGTGCCACTCTCTGCTTCTCAGGTAAATGCTTAACAAAACTCAATCAGCTAACCAACACTCTTGATAAGTTTCCGTTGAACTGTCAGGTCTGATGTGTCCCAAATTCAAAGTCTCCTTGGGAAAATTGAGCTACTGTTTGTCCTTCTCACTAATTAAATCTATAATCATCATAGATTTGTTGATGTGATGTATAGACATAACTTTTCATTCTTCCTTCAGATGAACAATGTACCAAGTTCTACCATCCGTCTAAAGAAACTGGCCTTCTCAATAAGATATGTTATGGTAACATTTGCCGGTGTGCAGAAGGTAGGTTGGGATAAATAAGGAAGATGTTGTGTTTGGGCACCGAAGTGCAAGATTTGGGGAGGAGACAGTATGGAATCTCTGGTTTATGCAATTTAATTCAAAGTGAATCAATGATAATTTTTCGCAATTTTTCGAGTCTATCTAGAAGCTTTGGACTCTGTTCTCTATAAAAAATATGAGGAGAGAGTTGCTGACCTCAGTAATTGCAAGACTTTATAAAGTGATTACTAATGAGTTTATATGTGATTGAAGATCCACTGTTCCTTTATGCATTTCTATTTATTTATGTGATGCCCCATTTTTTACACCTAGTAGTATGACCAAAGCAGTTAATACCAATTAAAAAAAAGTAAAACAAACAAAATGTACACATACAGTATACATATTTAACAAATATCATTATCCTGTGGGACATGCCCCTGTCTGATAATCATGGCCAATTTTCTTCCATTTGCCATTCTCCTCATTCCCCTGAGAGGCAGTCAGCATGTGGACAAGCAACTGCAGGAAGGATAACAATGGAGTATGGTAAAGTTCAGTATGGTAGTTGGTATATCTTCTATAGATCCTCAAACCATTTCTCTCCATAAACTCAGAGCATATGCCTTCTTGGCTCCCTGCTTCCCTGTTGGTCTATCTCTCTCCCTCTCAGAGGAGAAGAGGGAAAGAGAAACAGATTGGGAAACAGGCAGGCAAGTTTAGTTTCTCTGCTGTGCACCTAGGTAGGACATAGGTGACAAAAATGAAGATTAGACAATCAGGGTAGAGTAGCAAGTTGTCAGAATATTGTGTTTAGATCCAGGTTTAAATCCTGCTCATCCACAAAGCATATCTGTTGATTTCAGACTAATCACTCTCTATTTCATCTATCATTGTCATGAAAATAATATAGAAAGCTGAGATAAGATCTGATATCCATATAGAATAAAAGAATTTGCAACCTGAAACTAATCTGCAACCACCCACCAATAAATGGTGAAGCTGCTAATATACCCCTGTACGAGTGATAATTTTCCAGATAATTTATTATTAATAGACCTCTTAAAGTATAATTTGCATGACATCCTTTCTGAAAAGCATTGATTTAGTCATACTTGAAAAAGGAGATACAAAAGATTGCTAGTACAGAGTCAACCAAAAAGTTCATTGCAATTACCAAATTATTATATCAGTGCATAATAAACCATATGTCAGAGCTGTTAGAATTGCCTTTGAAAATCCCAATGTTTTCTTTCTTTCTTAAATATAGTACAAATCTTACCTGATTTTCCCTTCAGAGAAAATAAGAAAGTGCAAGCATTTGAAATACCACATTATCAAGTAACAGTATTTATAGATTAAATCTAGGTGGTAGGGAGTCCTATTTATATTAATGTTGCTGATTTCTGCATATTATCAAACACAGATGTCATCTGAAAATGAGATGTTACCTGCTTCTTTGCTGGCTACTTTTTGCCCCAGCAATGTTTTTTTTTAAATGAGAACATGGTACCCTCAACTATCCATCCAACATGCTGTCTTCTCTTCTCTCCTTTCAAAGAAACCTGTTCCTTGCGCAACCAGCAGAAAGATATTGAACTGCAATTACGAATTGGATTAGCCTGCGAGCCAAATGTGGATTATGGTATTTATATTGTAGAATTTTATTAATAAGGCAGTGGTGTCTTTCAACATCTAATCATCAAAAAGTCATGATTTGGAGCAGCCATTTCAAATTTATTCATAATAAGATGGGCTTTCACCCTCAGAATGCTGAGCTGCCGCCACCCATCCTCATCCTGCAGTGATATTTTTCTAGTTAACATGGTGCTGCTTGTTGGTGTATTATTGGCCCTCCTGGTGTAGCATGGTAGTTCATGGCTTCCTGAAATACATCTGGACCAACGAGTAAGCTCTTGATTTAGCAGACCCAAAACACTGAGATTCTGAGAGCATTTCCACATTCCACACTCCCACTGTTTTCACTTTCCAATCCTTCAAAAAGCAGCATGAAGCTAACCTGCAATCATCTTCTTGGCCCCCACTTCAAAAGACAGAGGTTAAACACTACAGTGCTATGAAGTGGGGTGAGGTGAAAGTTCTCTCAAATGGGGGAAGGGACTGCTCTGAAGCTCACTGTTAGCCCTTCGAGGTAATCCAGACAAGAACAACAACCAGAAGCATCAGCACTATCTTTATTGTAAGGTTACATTAAGCAGAATCTTGCAAGACTGAAAGTATTTCTCCCCTCCTCTCTGGAATACTAGGGAGGGCCCCTTCTGAAACACTTCCCATGCTTTTCCCCCACCTGCAGACTGAGCTGCCTCTTATCAGACCTTTGCCTAGACTGCGGGTCTTCCTCTTGTCTCCCAAGGTCATCCCCACAAACCTGTAATGGTATGTGGGTATGACCTTGGGAGACAGGGGGAAGAGCCACAGCCAGGGAATGGTCAGACAAGGGGCAGCTTAGCCCATAAAGGGAATGTGGGCATGGCAAATGTCTCAGAATGGACCCTCCTAATTTCTTGGGCTGTAAAGGTGACAGGGGAGAAACATACTTTCAGACTTGCAAGACTCTGCTAATGTAACCTTACAATAAAGTAATATTAATCCATCTTGTCGTGCTTCCTGTCTGGATTACCTCACAAGGCTGACAATATCATCATACCCACATAACTGCAGCACCTCAAGAGAAAATACACAATTTGCCTCCATTTCATGAACCCCACAGTGGAGCTAGTACTCAGTGGCCTCACCTGGTGGATTCTAGACTGCCACAAAGATCCAACCTGGAAGTGCCCATAGTATAGGTGGAAACTTTAGCAGTACCCATGCCTCACTGATTAAGTCACTCCTGGTGAAAAATAATCAGCTATCTTAATGAGTATCATTTCTGTCTTTGTTTTTAAAAGTCTACAAAACCAAGCTGCTTCGAACTGAAGAAAAAGATGGTAATGTTGTCTATTTAATGGAAGTCTTAGAAGTTATTAAAGCAGGTAAGAATTTTCCCCTAAAATAAAGTATATGTTAGATATTGGAAATGTTTTCTTTAAATCTGAAAGTTCACTTGAACCTCATTGGAAAGTTCACATTAGTCTACTTAATTTAATTTAATGTATTCAATTTAAATGTTACCCAACTCCAAACTGACTCTGGGCAGTGTACAATAAAATCAAACAAAGTAAAAATGCAATATATTAACGTTACAAAAAGAAAAGGAATAAAGAACAAGAACAAAGGGTGAGTCCAGCTGACAACATCCACACCCCCAACCTTACCTGACAGGGGCCCCAATCCCCCTAACCTGCGGCCTTGAAAACTTTCTGGAAGGCCAACAGGGTGGGAGTCACCCAGATATCAGAGGAACGTCACTTACCCACTGAATTTTCATCTGTATGATCAGAAACCTCAATGTTTCCCAGGACATATTTGATTGCCCAGAAGCCCAAGTTTCTATAGAACAGTGAAGTATTTCCCACTGGCAGTCAGATAGAAGTTCTCTCAAAATGTGCATGATTGAATATTTCCCAGAATCTTTTGTAACACTTGGGGATTCATCACCCTCACAAATGTCTTTCAGTAATTCCTTCAAACTTCCCCTATTTGTACCTTTGTGAATTATCAAAAGGAATGTGGGATAGTGTACAATGTAATAAACAAATCCTTTCTTAAAATAAAGTCCTCCTTTTAATGCTTCTAGTTACAATAAGGGTGCATAAATAATGCAGGAATGGTGTATTTTTCTGCTTGTAAGAAGAGCATGGCTTTAAATTGGTCTCTTCCTTCTTTTTTCTTTGCTTTAAGGAAAGTGAGTACCTTGTTCCTTATCATTATCACATTATCACTTATTCAAACTCACAGCAGGACTTTTCTAAATGGAATGTTTCTGTTTTAAATAAAGATTCTGGATTTTGTCTCTTGGGAGGCTTTTTGATCTAGAGATGGGTTTCATCACAAGAATGGGGAGAGACCATTTTTATCAATTCTACCAGTTTTCTGTATCCTGATCAATTTGCTCCAGTGAGTTGGAAGACCCTCCAAAAGAGTGTGGGAAGGATCTGTTGTGGGGGGTTGCCAATGGCCTCCCTTCCCTTTGCAAAAATTGCCTCCTTTCAGTTCTGTTGATAGGAATCTTCTCTGGATCATCAACAGAGGGATGTTGTTAGAGTGGTACTTTTGTAAAGCATGAGAAGTGCTCCAGTAATGAGATAGGGAACTGGTTTTTTAGCCTCAGATGTTGCAGTATCAATGTTGTATATAGCTGGCCTCTCTGGGGAAAAATGTAAAGCTGAGAAGATGGTTTGTTTCCCCCAGGGTGATTAATATGGATCAATAGCAGTTTAAGAAAAGGTGAATGCACTGTCCTTTCATCTCCTTCCCACTAAATACAGCTACTCCTTCTTCTCTGATTGCTTGCCAGTAGTTATATAATAAAGATATGTATTAAACCAATGAAAGGCCATACCCCTATTGAAATATTTATTCAGATTTTATCTGATTTCTGCAGGCACTGACCGAAATCCGCAAGCCAAGCCCCGACAGTATGTAAGTCAAATGAATTGCAAGGAGGCTCTGAATCTGAAGGTGAACAACAACTATCTGATCTGGGGTCTCAGCAGTGACCTGTGGCCCATGAAAGATGAGTATGTATTTCACTCATTTTTTAATTTTCTAAAATTGTATAGACTTTGCTTTTCTGCTATCAAATCCACAGAACGCCTAACAATGCATCTATAGTGCCATAGAATGTTGTGTTACAACTTCAAAAGCAACCATAATCTGAATCAGTTAATATAAAAGTAGCCATGCTTCCTCAGATTTATTGGATGCCACAGAAGACTTCTGTAGGTTACAGATGACATTTTGGGGAAGACTGTGGAAGAACATTAACCATGATTTTTAGATTCATTCATTCGTTCATTTATATATAAATAAATAAAAAGCTTTCACCCAGGTGCTTCAGGCCACACAGTTCGTATGCTCTATGTCATACTGAACAGCTGCACTTGCCTGGAAGGGTCTTTTCTACCACTGCCTCAAGTCTCCCAGCACCTCCAGAGCTGGGCTGCAAAGATCTGGACATGATGGCAGCAAAGAGTGAAAGTGTTCTGTATCTCTTTGTGCTAACTAGTGGTTGTCCAAATTTTTGCAGTCCAGACCTACTAGTCCAATCCATTGCTTTCACTTTGTTCTGAATTATTTCCACCACTGTTTCTATGATACAGTCAAATAAATAAAGGAAGGGTTGCATCTAGCTGTTCGTCTCTAAACGCTCAAATATATACTTGAAGGAGACTGTGTAGATTATCACTGTATGTTTAGGAACAAGCATCTGTTGTTTAGGTGTCTTTAAAAGCATTAGGGTTGATACTCATTCTTCCTGAGATATTGTTTGGGTGGTTTAACCTTCCAGAGGAACATAAGGATTTTCTCATTTCTTATCTAACACTTCTTAAAATCTTCCTGAATTGCTTTAGCTACCACAAGCCTGATGCATCTCTTATTCTCTATGCCTGGTTGACTTTGAGAAGTTCTAGCTGCAGCTCATTGGAAGGATTTTTCATTCCATTTGGGTTTCACAAGCATATTTATTATTTTTTGTTGATAGTATACGTGTATACATAGATCCAATATTCTACTACAGGTAGTCACCGGGTTAAGAATGCCCAGTTTAAGGACGACCCATAGTTAAGAACAGAGCCTATTGTAGCAAAATTCGAGTTAAATACACAAAGTTAATTACACAATGGTTCAAGTTAATTACACAGTACTACTTATACAGTATTATACAATACTACTGTTCTGGCTTATGCACAAATGTGACTTAAGGACAAATTTTGGGAATGGAACTTGGTCTTAAACTAGGGACTACCTGTATGCATCTCAGTTGAAATGTCTAAGTTCTAGGACTGGGGAGAAGCAATCTATCAGACAAAACTGATTTATCACTGAATACATTCATTAATTTGTCACATCTGCATACTGCCAAACCTTGCAATTCTTGAGGGTGTATTTTTCCATTGTTGTAGCAATCATGTTTTATGACAGAAGCCATTTGAATTTCCCAGAATTCAATTGTTTTAGAATGGGGCTTTTAAGGAAAAAGAAAAGTTTCTTCTTTCTCCGTAAAGTCAAAACTGAAATTAAACTGCCATATTTAAGAGGATGGAATGATTGAAAAATATATTTGGATTCAGTCCAAACCTAGCAAGTTGCTCCCACAGTGCAGCTATGTTTTAAGCTATCCTGTTTCCTGTTTCCAGAATGTCCTACACCATTACAAAGAACACCTGGATTGAGAGATGGCCAAATGATGATGAATGTCAGGATGAAGAATTCCAGACTTTGTGCAATGACTTTGCCCAGTTGTCCAACACACTAACTATGTTTGGCTGCGGTGCTTAAGGTACAGGCGAATCAATGATAGGAAATTCTTAGAAGATAGATTTTTGAGCCGATACATACATGTTACTTTCCCTCTTGAATGTTTAGTTTTCTATCATTTTGCTATCCCACTTTCTCTCTAAATTGTTTATATATAAAATAAAGAATTTATTTCTTACTTTGGTGTCCTGTTAATTGTTAACTAGACAATCCTGTGACCCATTGGGTCATCCTTTGAGAGAAAGGTAGTGCAGTGTGATGTGACCAGTAAAGAATTTATTTCTTACTTTGGTGTCCTGTTAATTGTTAACTAGACAATCCTGTGACCCATTGGGTCATCCTTTGAGAGAAAGGTAGTGCAGTGTGATGTGACCAGAATGAACATTAAATTTTAGGCTGACCTATTTTTTTTTACCCCAATGCCGGACGATCCCAT